TGGTCACAGTCGGAAAAATGTTCATAGTATGTTGTACCGTCGCTTGCACCTAACGATGAACAGTCGCTCATAAAAACATTCGCGTGATTAGAATCTCCAATGTTTGTCAAGAACAACAACACTTAATTGTTGTTTCCCATGTGTACAATAATAAGTAAAAAAAACTTTGTGTGGTCGGAACGTGTTGGGCCAGAGACCTACTGGAAACCTTTTAATACAGGCTTTTTAATGAGAATAGAGAATGTTTTATCTGCAACTGTTCACCTTTAGTTGCAACCGACGGTATTTGGCAGCATAAAATTGCCTGTGGCTGTGATAACTGATATAAATAAAATACAGTCTGGTTATACTGACTTGAGCGTGTCATGACAATCTTTTTATTGGAAAATTGTGAAGAAATATTGTGAAGACAAGCCTTTGCTTACCTTTCGCTTCAGCAGTCTTTTTTTTCCATACTTCTCTACGCTTTCCCAGGCGAGCTTCTCTTCCTCAGCAGTCTCCTCGAGCAAACGTTGTCGTCTTCGCTCCCTCCTTTTCGCTAGACGTTCGGCTTTCTTGTCATTCCTTGCCTCTCTTCATTTGGCTCCATATCTTTTCAATTGGTATTTGATACCGTAATTGTTTTATTAAACTTTTTATAGAACAAATTGCTTTGAAAGCTGTCAAAGCTTTTTGCAAACGTACAAAATACTGTAGTGTAAAAAGCAAATTATTTTCATGAAGTATCTGTCAGTTGAAGTCGTCATTTGTCATACAACAACAAATTTTAAATTTGACCAATCAGTGTTCGCTATTCATGACAGTCCGCCATATTTTTGAGATCAGTGAGGATGACCACCCACCGAAACACGCACAGTGACCCACGCCCGCGATATTTGATGAACTTCAGACTTCCCTAATGCTTTCGTTTCCCCGGGTGTAAATAGCCGGGGGGAATTAGTACCCTCGCACGGCGCTTCGCGCCGCCGGCTCGGGGACAAGAAATCTTGTGTAATGCTTGTGGTTTTATGATTAGCTCTATTGATAAATTCAAAATGTGTCGCGAATTTATCATAATGATAAATTCGGACGTGTTTAAGAATTTACTCATATAGTAAATTCAAAGGTGGAGCTCATGTTGGATATTTCACCTGCATGCAACATGTGTCTTTAATTATAACGCTTTTCATCGGCTGGTCAGGAAAACGTGTCAGTCATCAATCTTAACCTCTCTTGACCACACCTCCCACCTTTCGGCATCATTGCCAAAAATAAAATTATTTGAAATTTCGGCAAAGATTGTGCGAAGCATTGCGTTGCCGTCAAAAACATGATATAGAAGCAAATTTTCTCTAGCGACGGCAATGCAAAAAAATTACTACCATTGGATTTTCGTCGTCAGAAAAATATTGCCCGTGTATCCGTAACTTAAAGTGCAAAGCAAAACAGAAAAGGTTTACGTGTTAATTTGTGCTGCAATGTATAAACAATAATTTGGTGTTCGTTACATTTTCACTTTCATTTTCTCTACTTTCGTTTGAAAGGTGGCCAACTATTTTTACCAAATATTTTCCATTTTGACGAACTTTTTGAACATAAAAATCATTGGAGTGCTGTTACCCCCACCCCACTCCCCCCCCCAAAAAAAAACCCCTCCATACATAGTGAATTTAGAGAGAAAGAATTATGACAATTCTTTTCCGAATCGGTGAATTATGCGTCGATTTCTCAACTATAGAAAATGAAAGAGGGTTTTTAGATGTTTCTTCCACGAGGTCGCGTATTTTATATATGAATTTTTTATTTACAGCTTTCAATGTTTAGACTAAAGTGAATGATTATGCATAATGCCAGAATTACAATAAACTGACCGCATTTGCTGGAACTAATTATGACAAACTGGCAAATGGATAGAAACTAAACACAGGAATATTATGTTAGCTGCTCAAACTACCTCTTCTCCTTTGGATGCTGGCGTCTTTGTTCGTTTCTTTGGAGTTGGTTTCAATTTGAATGGCTTATCAGATATTTCCAATTTGTATCCATCAATTTCGTGTTTCCTTTTTAGGACACTAACCAAATCTGTAATGAAAACAAGGCTGCATGTATTATAATTCTATTTCAATTATTATATTACCATTACGTATTAGTATTTTTGCACAAGTGAATATAACAAATCCGTATTGACGGATCCCAATTGACGTATTAAGGTGGCTCCCTACAGTTTTCTAAAATTTTAAGTATTTTAGGTAACCTTCGTTTTCAACCAAATTTATATTGAACACACTTTAGACAGGGCAATATAATAATTTCCAGGAAAGTTCAGAAGTCTTCTGCTGTCGATATATGAACAAATAGGAACAGTGTTAGTGTTGCCATGGCAACCATAACGTTTCATCTTTTGCACTTTTATTGTCTAATTTTACAATCAAACGGCAATATCTTTTTTTTCCTTCGGTCAATTTTTCTGAATTT